AGGGGATACTTTGTCATTTAAAATCAGGAAAGGTGTGCATCCGGGCTGTATCCTTTTACCATACTTATTCAATTTGTACATTGAGCAAATAATGCAAGAACCTGGACTAGATGAAGAAGAATATGGCATCAGGATTGGAGGAAGACTCATTAACAACCTGTGATATGCAGATAACACAACCTTGCTTGCTGAAAGCAGAGGACTTTAAGCACTTACTGATGAAATATGACTACAGCCCTCAGTATGGATTACACCGCAACAAAGAAAAAAACAAAAACAAAAAACCCCACAACTGAACCAATAAGCAGCATCATGACAGATGGAGAAAAGATTGAAGTTGTCAAGGATTCCATTTTACTCAGATCCACAATCAGTGCTCTGGAAGCAGCAGTGAAGCAATCAAATGATGCATCACATGGAGCAAGTCTGCTGGCAATGACCTCCTTAAAGTGTTAGAGAGCAAAGATGTCACTGTGAGGACTAAGCTTTGCCTGACCCAAGCCATGGTATTTTCAATTGCCTCATATGCATGTGAAAGCTGGATAATGAATCAGGAAGACTGAAGAAGAGTTGATGCCTTTGAATTATGGTGTTGGCAAAGAATACTGAGTCTTTGATTTTTTTCATTCCTCTTTGCTATGGGTGGTAAGAGACCAATTAGATGGCTGCTCGCAAGCTTTTAAAACCCTAGTTACCACTCACTAAAGTAGAATATAGGGCATTGTCTTTATGGACTATGTTTTGCTAATTTACTAGGTGTATACTGAGGCTATGGTCTAAAGTCTTCAAACCCTGTGACTCAGTCTCTTAAAGAGTTTGGTTATGGCTAAGAAGTCTGCATAACTTTGCCCCCTGTACACTCTACTATGTATCTGGGTGTTTTGTGCAGCACATACAAATACATATGTAGAAATATCCTCTGCCAAACTTCATATGTTTGTATATATATATATGTTCGTGGGTGTACACCCATATACCATCTCACACTTCTGCAGCTTACATATCTACCTATGTATGCACTCATAAATTATCGTTTGTTATTCATGTTATTGCAGGATTGTGTATGTAGCAGTATTTACTGATGTTGCCTTTTACTCTTACATACATACCAACCAGTGTCTTCCTTTGACTTGGTCATGCTGCTCTGACCTCCCCCTTACTGTGTATGGCCTCTCCCTTCACCCAAGTTAATACATGTTCACTATTAGTGATTTTCCCTCCTTCCCTCTCCTACCCTTCGTAACCATTAAAGAATGTTTCTTTCTCTGAGTAAACCTTTCCTTGATTTTTTTTTTTTTAAATCATAGTGGTCTCATACAATATCTATCCTTTTGTGACCAACTTACTTCACTCAGCATAATGTCCTCTAGGTTCATCCATGTTGTGAGATGTTTCATAGATCCATCATTATTCTTACTCTTTAATGTTGCATTACTTGGTTCTACAATCAACACGAATGGAAGCAACAGTCAAGATATCAGACAATGTATCGCATTGGGTAAATCTGCTGCAAAAGACCTCTTTCAAGTAATGAGGAGCAAAGATGTCTCCTTGAAGACTATAACCCAAGCCATAGTATTTTCAATCACCTCTTATACACATGAAAGCTGGACAATGAATAAGAAAGACCAAAGAGTTGATGCTTTTGATTTGTGGTGTTGGAGAAGAATAGTAAGAGTACCACAGTCTGGTAAAATGACTACATATCTGTCCTGGAAGAAGTGCAGCTGGAAAGCTCCTTGGAAGTGAGAATGGCCAGACTTTGTCTCATCTAATTTGGTCATGTTGTCTGAAGGAACCAGTCCCTGGAGAAGGATATCATGCTTGGTAAAGTGGAGGGTCAATGAAAAAGAGCAAAGCCCTCAACAAGATGGATTGATAAGTGGCTGCAATGATGGACTCAGGTATAGCAAGGATCATGAGGCTGGCACAGGACCAGGTTGTGTTTCATTCTGCTGTGCACAGGGCTGCTATGAGTTGGAGATGACTTGACGGCACCTAACAACAACATTGCATAGTATTCCATTGTGTGTCTGTACTACAGTTTGCTTATTTATTCATCTGCTGATGGGAATTTAGATTGTTTCCATCTTTTAGCTATGAGAATAATGCTGAGATGAACATGGGTGTGCATGAATCTATTCATGTCTAGCTCTTCTTTCTCTACTATATATATATATATATGTGTGTGTGTGTGTGTGTGTGTATATGTATATATATATATATATATATATGTATGTATATATATATACACACACATACATGTAAAATCTTCTCTATTTGATAGTTGGCAGCAGTTATGCACTCACCATCTGTCTCCTGGTGGGTATGATAGAGAATGAGAGTGGCTGCACACATCTCTGTTAGCAGTTTGTGAAGAGCAATTAAGGTGAGTCAGGCTCTTATTAGGAGCTCTGGTACTCTAGTGCCTAAGGCACTTACTGCTAACCAGAAGGCTGGCGGTTCAAACCCACCAGCCATCCTCGGAAGGAAGGTTGGGCAATCTACTTCCATAGTGATACCGCCTCAGAAACCCAAGGAGGGGTCGCTATGAGTTGCGTCCGACTTGACAGCACATAACAACAACAACAACAATAAACTCTTATTGGTGGTCATGTATTGTTGGCCAGTTGGTTGAGAAGGAAGTGGTGGTTCTCACTGAGTAAGGGGAGCTGCAGAAGGTGTGAGTGCACTTGGGTCATATGGACACAGTTGCTGTCTCCCACTCAGACAAAAACAACAATCGAAAAACCACCCAAAAAGTAAAAGCAAGAAGACAAAAAATACACACCGCATAAACACAGGAACAATCACCACAAAGAAGGGGGCAGGGAGCCAGGAAAGGCAATAAATGAGGGAATAGAAAAACACACACACAAATAAATCCCCTAATATCTGGGGGGGGGGAGGGAATAAGAGAAAAGAGACAGAGTAAAATAAAAAATGAAGAAAAAAAATGGGAAAGATGCAAATAAGAAAAACAAGGGGTGGGGAGAACCATAAGAAAGTAAAAAGTGGAAACCAGAAAAAAGGAAGAGAGAAAAGGCCAAAAACTGGAAGCAGGGAAGAAAGAATAAAAATAAAAAGGAAGAAAAAAAATCTGGGGGGAGGGGCAGGGCAGGGCACCTAGGCTGGTCAGAGCACACAGACTGGGATGGAATTCCTGCCAGCTCTGAAGGTGGGTGGGGGTGAGGTATAGCTGCACCTTCATCTACCAAGAGGGTGTGGGATATGAGTAACAAGGGGAATAGCACACCTTTCCTGTCCTCAGTGTCTAGTATGTCCTTGTTGTCCCAGGCAAGTGGAGTCTATCCTTAGGTCCTTGGAAGTTGAGAGAATGATGTTGCTTTAAATATCCAAAACGGTCAAACCGCTTGTAAACATTCAAAATGGCTGTGCCTTCCAGACAGCCAAAAGTCCAGAGCTCAGTTTGTCTTCCTCTTTGCTATTTCTCTTTTTATTTACCAGCCACCAGTGTAGTTCTCCATGCAGCCCTTAGCAAGCAGGGCTGATTTTCGGGTTAATTCTTAGGTCCTAACACCACTTGGAAATATCCAAACTTTCTGCGCCACCAGGATCACTGACAATCCACAGCTGTTTGTCTCCTTTTTTCATGCAGGTTCTTCTACTAGTTGGAGTTTAGTCCACTTCTGTATCCTTCCTTTCAAAGCTCAGGGCTCCAGGATTATCTTCTGTATCTGTGTCAATTGGTTCCTCTTTTCTTTGTTGAAGAGGGTCTGTGTCTGCCTATTCCGCCATCTTACTGGAACTCTGAGTTAGTTTTTTGTATATGGTGTGAGGTATAGATCCTATTTCATTTTTTTTGCAAACTGATATCCAGTTTTGCCAGTCCCGTTTGTTAAACAGACCATTTCTTCCCCATTCAATGGAATCATACCTTTTGCCAAAGATCAGCTGTCCATAGGTGGATGGATTACTTTTGGGTTCTCAATTCTGTTCTACTGGTCTATGTCCCAGTGGCCTGTTATTGTATCAGTACCAGGCTGTTTTGATTACTGTGGCTCTATAGTATGTTCTGAGATTAGGAAGTATGAGGCCTCCTATTTTGTTCTTCTTCCAAAGTGTTTTGCTTATCCGAGGTCTCTTTCCTTTCCACTCAAAGTTGTGATTAGTTATTCCATCTCTTTAAAGAATGTTGATGGAATCTGGATTGGGATTGCATTTTACCTATATATTAGTTTGGGTTGTATTGACATTTTCACAATGTTAAGTTTTCCTACCCATGAGCATGTTATGTTCTTTGGATTTTATTTATTTAAGTGAGAAATACTCTATCATTTTTCTTAAAATCTCCAAACTTTCACACTGCTTAAATTCACAATGAAACCTCATCTTTAAAATGAAAAAGAACCATTAATTAGCTTTTTAAGTTAAACATGAATTTCTTAGGCAGTCCAGAGGATATAAAGGAGAAAAAGCAACATTTCAATTTAGGCCAGTCATCCTTGCTACATACAATCACACGTACACACATACACTCACACACATGTACACACAAAGTCACATTAAAAACTATCCTTAGTGCCTTTCAGTGGGCATGCCGACTATGGCTTCCAGTAAACTTCACGTAGTTTAGATGATGATGATGATGAGGGGAATGATAGAGTGTTCAAGACATAGCATGTAGACTTGGAATAACAATTTTTTTCCAATCAAGTTCATCTCAGAAAACATCTCATTGTAATTTCTATTTATACCAATTTATTTTGTCACTTCCCCAACAAAATAACAACAAAATAGTTATATTTTCCTGAAAGGAGAGGATTGTGTGATGTCTACTACCACTTTTAAACTTAGAGAAAAATTTCCAAAAGAAATTTTCTATTTAGTTGCGAGTTACTTATGTTTTACTATTTAGTTGGGCTTTGGGATGCCTAAAACCAGTGCTTTGGCTGTGAGACGTTAATGGATCCTGAATTAACTGACAGTTATGACCTTTGGTTCTGTCAAATGTGACTTTCCCTTGCTTTGTGTCACAGCATCCTCCTCATATGACTGTGGAAAGCCCAAGGTGGAACCGAAGAAGTGTCCTGGAAGGATTGTAGGTGGGTGTGTGGCCAATCCCCATTCTTGGCCCTGGCAAATCAGTCTCAGAACAAGGTAAGACCGTTTCCAGAAACCATTTATACCAGACTTCCATACAAGTCCCATACAACTCTTACATCCACACTAAATCTGGACATTTCAGATGTCAGTACGTGGGTTCGAACTGCCCACCTTTTGGTTAGCAGCCAAGCATTCAACCACTGTGCCACCAGGGCTCCTCTTCTATCACAGACACACGCTTTTATTTTCTTTTACACTTTTGTGAGTTGTTGAATTCGACAACTGCCTCTATATTCTCCTCAGGAGGAAACAAACACTACAAAAATAAATTATAATTTATTTATAATAAATTTATTCACTATAATTTATTTATAATAAAAATAAATTATTATTATTATTCTAGGCTTTCTACTTTGAAAATTTCCAGAACTGGAATCTTTTCCTTGATCTCAGCTACTGTTATCAAAATCGGAATATGTAGCAATCTACACCACATTCCAATCGTGCTGCAAAAGTCTTGAAGCTGCTTTGAGGGTCCACACATATAGAAACCTACTGCTTCCTTGTAAAAGGAAAATAAAGGAATAGTTTCAGAAACGTGATGGAGAGGGACAAGACAAAATGATCTATAGTCTATCACAGATAAAAACGAACAATCAAACCCGTGGTCCTCTAGTCAATTCTGACTCATAGTGACCCTGTAAGATAGAGTAGAACTGCCCCATAGCATTTCCAAGACCGTAATGTGTTACAGAAGCAGACTGCCACATCTTTCTTCTGTGGAGCAGCGAGTGGGTTCAAACTGCCCACCTTTTGGTTAGCAGCCAAGAACTTAGCCACTGTGCCACCAGTGCTCCTTTTCTGTCACAGATACATACTCTTACTTTCTTTTGCACTTTTGTGGGTTGTCGAATTCAGTTCAGATGGTGACCACCCATTCACCAACCCACCTCCCCCACTAGGGGCTAATTCCTAAGCCCCATCATTGAAGAATGACTAGTTTGATTCAATGGAACCCAGGACAGTTTGGGTTATCGTCTCAGTGGAATGCTGCTTTAATGAGCTCAGTTTTCTTGAGGATCTCACACAGCACCATACCAAGCAGGCTTATCTGCTCGCTAGCGTGGCTCCCTGCTTCTCCTTGTCCTCCGCTAGAACCTGGCTTCGTGCGCGTGTGAAATGCAATCTGTCAGCTCGCCTACTTTATGTGTCCAATGTGCTTCTCTTTACCTTATCATGAAGCGGCTTCCTGGTCTGTACACAAAACCTTCATCTTTCACGTACTAACCAACTGTTCTCTCCCAAACTGCACCATGAGCTATTCCCTGATGGACGCATCCATACACCTACTCTCTTGTGCTTACAATTTCCATTCCTTTCTTTTACAGTCTGGGTCAGAGTGGCTTGCAACATTTACACCAAGTCACCACTTCCTTAAGCAGTCCTATAAAGTCAATGATTTAGGGGCATCCCCCCAAAAGTAAGCTGTCTCAGGCCAAATCCCCACACTCCCAGGACTCCCTGCTACTCAAGATCCCCTGGGCTCCCTGAAGATGGCCCCATCAGACCTTTCATGGATCTTGTCAAAAAGAAATCAGAGAGGCCTCCAGGGAAGCTGCTTGACTAGTCACTTTTCTCACTTAGTCAGAAAGCCAGTCTGAATACTGGTCCAGGGATGATACTGAAAGCCATTTTGTTCTCCTGGGAACAGGATGACCCTGAGCATCCCCAAGTCATCTCTCAGAGCTGTGTGAGTGGGCCCTCTGGAAAACTCCAGTACTGAAACACAGCTCAACATCACTGTTATCCTGATGATGGGGTGCCAGTCTTTTCTGAGTGGGCATGTCAACATTATCAGAATCGAGTGAGCAACTCTTTGTGGCTCACTGTACAGTGGCACGGAATAAACTACCATATTTGGACTGAAATCCCAACATCTTTCTCTTCTAGGTTTAGAAAGCACTTCTGTGGAGGCACCTTAATATCCCCGGAGTGGGTGCTGACTGCTGCCCACTGCTTGCAGAGGTTTGTGTAGGGCATAACTGATGGCAAGGCTTGTCTTAAGGACTTCCTTCCTCCTTCCCTCTTTTCTTCCTTCTATTCTTATTTTCCTTGTTCCTTCCTTCCTCTTTTTCTTTCCTTCCATTTCTTCTCTCCACCATGATATACTGAATACCTACTACAGTCAAGGCACTTCTAGTCTAGTCAGAGAAATGCAGTTTTACAATCTGGTGAGAGCAATGCAGTGCTCTACACAGAAAAAGAAAGGGCTACAAGGGGCCACAAGGATTCAAGGCAGGCAGAGAGAACATCAAGCAAGAGCATCTCATAGAGATGGTGGTTGGTGACCTGAACCTCGAGAGGGCCATGTTAGTGGACATACTGAACATGAGGAGTGGGGAGAAAGCCAGTCTGAATTCAGGGGGCGCACAAAGGTGCAAGAGCACAGTGGGAAGGTAATTTCATCTGCAGCACAGGACTAAGGGGAGTAGTGGGACATAAAGCAAGAAATCTATCCACCCATCCAACAGCATTTAATGCGAACCTACTTTGTGCCAAGCCCTGTTGCAGGGGAGGGAGCAATGACCCAACAAAGATGCTCCCTGCAAGGAGCTAATACGCTAGTGGGAGACAGTCGATAAACTTGTAAGCTAATTAGTGAGGTAATGAAGTGCTACAGAGAAAGCGCACTGGAGCGACTGGTAGGGGTGAGCAGGGGTGGAGGGCCACAGTGGGGCAGCCTAGAAGGGCCTCCCCAGGAAGGAGGCATCTGAATTGAGGCTGGCTGATGAAAGGATCCAGCCCAGAAGACCTGGGATAGGATGTTCCGGGCAAAAGGTATTGCAAGTCGAAAGTCCTTGGGATGGGACCAACTGAGTGAATGTGATGCTGGGAGCAGGCAGCCCTGGCCACAACACAGGGCTTGGATTTTATTCTAGCTCATGGTAAGTCACTGAAGGGATGAGGAAAGGGAAAGGTAAAATCTGATTTATCTTTTTTTCATGACTTTTTTTTTATTGCGGTAGATATATATAACATGAAATTTATCATTTTAACCACTCTTAAGTGTCCAACTGAGCAATGTTAATTACATTCCCCACGCTGTACAACCATCACCACCATCAATCTCCAAAACATTTCATCACCCCAGACAGAAGCTCTGCACCCCTCAAGCATTACTTCCCATTCCCTACCCAGACCCCTTGTAACCTCTAGCCAACTTTCTGTCTCTACGGATTTGCCTATTCTAGAGAGTTCCCGTAAATGGAATCATACAACATGTGTTCCTTTCATCTGATGTACATTTTAAAATCGATTTCTCTAGCTCTCATGTATAGGGTGGGTTGCCGGGGAGAGCAGAAGCAGAGAGGCCAGCTGACATGTGAAGAAGCTGGAGTGGGAAGACACTGGAGGCAGAAATACCAGGGCAGGGCAACCGAGTGCATAGGAGATGAGAGGGGAAGGGAGGGTTTCCAGTGAGCAAGCGAAGACAACCTTCAGGTGCACCTGTAGGTCCAGATGGGCCAGGGATAGAGTCGCTCACTGTGACAGGCTGTGGTCACCAGGAAGCATCCTGAAATGGGTGCCTGCCCTTGTACTGACTTCGGTGTTGGCTTCAGTCTTCTCTGTGGGAAGCAGTAATGAGACCCTCACTTAGCAGCCAACTTGAGATGAATCATGAGTCTGTTTCTGGCCACTCAGAAGTCCCCGAGGCTGGGTTGCAAGTGTCTATGAGAGAAGATGTGATCCTATGGCACAGAAGGGGTTCCTGTCAAGGGCCATATTTCCCCCCATAACTTTACCATCTGTTCTAGGTCCCCCAGGCCATCATCATACAAGGTTGTTCTGGGCGCGCACGAAGAAGTGAATCTTGAAACACACGTTCAAGTAATCGACGTTTCCAGGATGTTCTTGGAGCCCACACGAGCAGACATTGCCTTGCTGAAGCTAGACAGGTAGGATCCTACTCATGGCTTCACCCCAAGATGAGTGAAACCATTTCTTTCATGACCGAGAGGCATCATGATTGAGTGTGGCAAGTGGGATTCTGTGGAGAGAGGCCTGGGTTCCAAGTCAGAAAACCCAGACTCCAGCCCGATACTGCCTCATACTAGCTGACTTTGAATAAACCTCTGGAACCCAGTTTCCTCACATATAAAAAGAGTGAGTTTTTGAAATATGAGGTACAATTTAGACTGAAAACTCTCTCACTTCATGGTCATCAATCAGCTAATACACATTCATGATCAGAAAATTACTCAATTATTATAGGTTGACAAGTCTCCTCTCAACATACCATTATGTTTGGGGGAGTTAGATGACATGTACTTCAAAGCACTTGAGAAACCACAAATTTTCATTACCTTCCTTGGTTTTACTCTGGCTTTTGAAATGCTGTTTTATTAAACCTGACAAAGTGACAGCTTTGCTTATGTTAATGTTTTAAGCAGATGTCAATGGACAGCTAAATAAACAGGTGGTATCTTGAGAACAGGCACACACATTTAGAACAGGCAGCAAGGACCGCAGAGGGCATCAGCTGTGTCTGATACATTCCTGATGTCAGTGTAATGATGTGGGCTGGGACGAGCTGGGCCTGGACAGCACAAGGCCAGTGGCTGGAGCTCAGAGAACCTCTCTGTGTCTGATCCACAAACACTTGGCGACTCTCCTGGGTCAGTAAACTGAGGGTTAGAACGCTGCCCAACACAGTGCTGGAAACCGAGCCTCCTAGGCTGGAAGGCACGCACAGTGGCTGCAACATCGGACTTGAGCAGACCAACAGACCTGAAGACGGCACAGGACTGGGCAGGGTTTTGTGTTGTGTGTGGAGTTGCCAGGAGTTGCAGCCCACTCCACAGCAACTAATGATAGCAACAAACTGAGGGATGACTGTCTGGGCTGTTTAGATATTCTAGGCGGGAAAAGGGGTCTGAAAAAGCAGTAGAGTCTCTTTATGTTCCTCAGTCTCCCTCCTGTTCAATTTCATCTTTTGTTATGATTCTGTTCAAATTTTCTACTTCAGTCTATGTTAGTTCAGGTGACTAGTATGTTTAGAAATTTGTCCATTTCTTCTAGGTTTTCAAATATACTGGAGTACAGTTCTTCACAGTATTGTTATCCTTTTTGTTTCAGTTGGTTCTGTTGTGAAATTTAATCCACTTAATTTCTTATTTGTGTTATCTGCATCTTCTCCTACTTTTCCTTTGTTAGATTTGCCAGTTGTTTGCTGAATTTATGAATCCTGCCCAAGAACCAACTTCTAGTCTTGTTGATTCTATTGCCTTTGTTTTATTCATTTATGCTGTAATCTTTATTATTTCCTTTCTTCTGGTAATTATAGGCTTTTTTGCTGCTCTTTTTCTAATTGTTGGAGTTGTTGGATTAAGGTTTTGACTTTGGTTCTTTCTTCTTTTTCGATGTGTGTGCTACTGCTATCAATAAACCCCCTGGGCACTGCTTTTGCTGCACCCCAAAAGTTTTGGTAGCTTGTTTTCCATCTTGTTTGATTCAAGGAATTAAAAAAAAAAATTATTATCCAGTAGTTTTTACCCACTAAACCCGCTGCCACTGAGTCAATTTTGACTCATAGTCACCCCCATTGCATTTCCAAGTAAATCTTTATGGAGATAGATTGCCTGCCTCATGTTCCTCCCACAGAGCAGCTGATGGGTTTGAACTACTAACCTTCTGGTTAGCAGCCAAATGCCTTACCCACTATGCCACCAGAGCTCCTTAATAGTTTCTGAACAGGGTGTTATTCAATTTCTGCATTTGATTATTTTTCTTTCTCTTCTGCTGTTGATTTCTAATAATACAATATTGTGATCTGAAAAGATGCTTTGTAATATTTCAGTGTTTTTAAGTTTATTGAGGCTTGCTTCGTGGCCTAACATATGGTCTATTCTGGAGAATGCTCCGTGTGTGCTGGGAAACAATGTATACTGTGTTGTTGGGTGGAGTGCTCTGTAGATGTCTATGAGGTTAAGTTGCTTGATTGTGTTCTTTATCACTTTTTGTGCCTTGGTAGAGTTTCTTTCCAGTTCTGTTCTTCATCAAAAGTGGTATATTAAAGTCTACTAGCATTGTGGAGTTATATATTTCTCTTTTCAATTTTGTTAAAGTTTGATTTGTGTATTCTGGGGCTTCTTCACTGGGTGCACAGACATTTATTATAGTTATGTCCACTTGTTCAGTTGACTCTTTAATCATTATATAATGTCCTTCCTTGTCTTGTATGCTAAATTTTGTCTTAAAGTTCTATTTTATCAGAAATTAATATTGCCACTCCTGCTATTTTTTGTTGTCATTTGCTTGTTATGTTTATCCATCCTCAGATTTTAAACTTATTTTTGCCTTTGGGTCATGTTTTCTTATCCATTCTGCTATTTTATGTCTCTTGAGTGGTACATTTAATCCATTTACATGCAGTGTAATTATTGATAGGTATGAATTTATTGACTTTTTTTTTCCAGTGTTTTTTTTTTGGTAGTGCTGCTGATTTCTTTGTCCCATCTGTTTTTCTGTGTTTGAATTCATTTTGTTTATGGATTTTCTTATCATGTCCTTGGCTGCGGTTGTTTCAATGTTTACCAAATTTTTATGTTTTTTCTTTTTTTATTTTGTTGAAAAGGTTTCTTAATTTTCTTTAAGGTTACCCTGTAATTTATTATTTTCTTCCCAAGTTTAAAACAGTTTGTTCTATCTTGATATCATCTTGACTCCGTCTCCATTTGGAAGTTCTGTAACTGCACTATTTATTTCCTCTTTTTACTTTGTAGTTGTCCTCATTTACAAATCAACACCTCTGGTTCCCTATTTTCAGTCTTGTATATCTGGGTTGATTTCTGGGTAATATTGTCATAAGTGTTAATCTCAGGTTGCTGTCTCCTGTTGTTGGCTCTCTGTCTGAAGAGCACTTTCACTATTTCTAGGAAGGCTGGTATGGTTTTTATAAATTCCCTTAATTTCTGTTTATCTGGTTATGTCCTAATTTCACTGTCATATTTGAGGGACAATTTTGCTGGGTATGTAATTCTTGGTTGGATTTTTTTCCCCAAGGTTTTATATATGTCATCCCATTACTTTCTTGCCTGCATAGTTTCTACCAAGAAATCAGAGCTTAGTTTTATTGTTTCTCCTTTGTAGTAACTTTTCATTTTCCCCGAGCTGCTTTCAGAATTCTTTCTTTGTCCTTGGTTTGGAAAGTCTGATTGTGATATGTTTTGATGATTTTCTTCTGGGATCTACTCTGTTTGGGGCTTGCTGAGCTTCATGAACACATATCTTCTTGCCTTTCATGGTATTAGGTAAGTTTTCTTCCAACAAATAGTCTACAATTTTCACCACAGTTTTTGTTGTTTGGACTCTTTCTGTTCTGAAATTCTGATCACATGTAAATTATCCTCTTGATGATGTCTCACATAATCCATAGGCTTCCTCATTTTTTTCCCATTCTTTTTTTCCTGATTATTCCTCTAACAGATTAACATTGAGAGATTTACCTCCAATTTTCCAAATTTTCTCCTCCACTAGCTCAACTGTTTCTTTGCTATTCATAATGTTTTCCCTGGCCAATTCTTTCAGAAGTGGACGGCCTCTTCCTTCTTCCAAAATGCTCCTTGGAAGCAAGGATGGCCAGACTTCGTCTCACCTATTTTGGTCATGTTGTAAGAAAGGACCATTCCCTGGAGAAGGATGTCATGCTTGGTAGGGTGGAGGGTCGATGAAAGAGGGGGAGGCCTTCAACGAGATGGATTGATATGGTGGCTGTGATGATGGGCTCAAGTATAGCAGGGATTGTGGGGCTGGTGCGGGATCGGGCAGTGTTTCGTTCTGCTGTGCATGGGGTCGCTATGAGTCGGAAATGACTCAACGGCACTTAACAACAACAACAACAAGCTCAACTGTACTCCTTTGCCCTTCAATGTATTATCTATTTCTGAAACCTTAGTATTAATCTTCTGGATGTCTGATTGCTGTTTTTGTACAGTTTCTAATTTTCCATTTATTTTTCCAGTTTGTTCTTGATTTGTTTTTCTGAATTCTTCTAGAGTATTTTTCTATTTTCTTTGATCTTTCTCGTAATCTGCTAAAAGTACCTAACTGTAATTCTTTTGAATTCCTTATCAGGTAGTTCCATTTCCTACTCAAGAAAATTTTTCTGGTTCTGCTTTTTTTTTTTTTTTTTTTTCTTCTTTGCTTTATTTTGTTTTGATATAACCAGGCAAGCAAGGTGGATGTTCTACTTTGATCACTAGTTTGGCAGCTCTCACCTCCTGTCTCGTGGTGGATGTGAGAGAGGATGGGAGTATGTGTACAATACTCTGTTTGCTCTTTATGTAGAGTAGTTGAGGGTGGGCTGGCTGGTGTTGGCCATTGTCTATTGTTGATCAGGTGTTGCAGGAGTGGGTGGTGGTACTTGCCCAGTTGGTAGGGCTGCAGGAAGTGTAAGTGTGGACATAGTTACTTATGGTCTCCAGCCAGCATTGTGGGTACTGGTGCAGTCCTGGGTGAGCAGAGCCAATTATTAGATTCTGGCCCCAACTGGAACACTGCTTGCAAAAATTCAAGATGGCCAAATTTGTTGGGCTAGTTGACAACTCACTGTTCCGTATGTCTCCTTGTCTGCTGTTTTCATTCTGTTTCTTGTTCTAGTTGGTATCTGATATACTTCTTTATCCTTTCTTTTGAAGCTCAGGGTTCCAGGATTATCGTCCCTATCTGTTTCATCTGGTTGCTTGGGTCTTTTTCATAGAGGGTCTGGGTAGCTTCTCTGTCTAGTTTGCCATCTTTCTGGAAGTCCCAATCCTCTTTCATTTGATATTCAGTATTTTAGAGTCTTACAAGCATAGTGTTGTAATATTTACAGATAAAAAAACCAAAGAAAGTTTTAAAAGATAGATCCTTTCCCCCTTAAACCAATGTAACAACATGCACTTGGAATAAAACTCCAATACTGAACAGAGTCTACAAGAGTGTATGTCATCCCTACTCCCAGAGATGACCACCACCAGCAGTTTCCTGAACAGAAATGATGCCTTTAAAATGGAATGTCATGTTTTATTTCATAAAATATTATAGGCAAATGTGAGGATGACAAGCAATTTTCTACATAGCTCTATGTCAGCAAAGCAGGAAAATATTAGCTTGGAAAATTCTGGGTGGGTGATCTGAGGACAACCAAGTGTAAACTGTGATGCTTTCCTTTCAGCGCTGCCATCATCACTGACAAAGTCATACCAGCTTGTCTGCCACCCCCGAATTATGTGGTTGCTGACCGGACAGAGTGCTACACCACTGGCTGGGGTGAGACTCAAGGTGAGACCCACTGCATGACCCACAGAATAAACTGGTTTCTCCTACACCCTATAAGCAAAAATGAGAGTTGCACAACTTCCTAGCAATGAGCACTGAGGTCCACCCTTCCTGACTTCATCTAGGCCCTTGCATATGGCTTCATACTCAGTTAACAGGGGACATACAAGATAATGTGAGAGTTTCTTGGAGACTCTCAGCCCATATTTCAACTCTAATATTGTTTCCCAAGGTAAATAGGGTTTTCCCACATCCCACAAAATTAAGAATGTTAAATTATTTTTCACTTGAAGTTTGCAATGTAGTGTTTTTAACATGGTATAAAACAATCACAGAAATAGACTAATCTGCTATGTTTGTGGAGAAGCTGTTAGATGAAAGAAGTACTGCTGGGAGAAAAAAGGAATGGTCCCTTGACTCTCTAGTTCTGGGTGACACTTAATGGGGTGCAAGACAAGAGAGGCCATGTTTATGCAGGATCCAGTATAAGCATATTTTGGGATCTCTTGCCTTTGCCATGTGCCCTGACGATAACTATGCCCATTAGCCACGGACCCTTGGTCATAGGAACACTGGAACAATGTGTCAGGATCTCTGCCTCAGTTTCCTCAGAAGTGTTGGGAATGGTAGTCAGGGACCAGAAAAGAGTTTTGGCTCTGCACTAGCAGGGTAAACCTAGAAACGTCCCTTTACCTCTTTGTACTCATTGGGGGTCCAAGTCCTCATCTGTAAAATCGTGTTTTACTCACTAGCCTTTTGCATAAGATTTCAGTTAAAGAAAGAATTTTTGACTACCAAAAAAAAAAAAAAAAAAAGGGGTAAAACCCAGCCGTCTGGGTAATTTCAAACATGGCCTCCCTCTTTCTGGTCTTTGCGTGCTATTGTTAAAATCTCACCCTGCTGATTCGCCATGGTTACCTTTCTGCACTTGAGTCTGCAAGCTTGGAGATGGAGAAAAAGGTTTGGCGGCACTGAATCAAAGCGAACAGAGGGCACCTGTGTATGTCCCGGGCTGTTCCCGGCACTTTGCATCTTTTTACCTGTAAACACCACAACCTGTCTGAGTTAGATATTGTTTTCCTAAAAGTGAGTGATGAGAGCTGCAAGATGGCGCAGTGGAAACTGCCTGCTTGGTCGGGGGAGTCACTCAGACCTGCGTTAGAATCCTGACTCAGCACTTACTAGTAGTAAATGGTACTCGGAAAAATCACAGGATCTTGTCGAATCTGTTTCCTCAGCTGAAAACATGGGCTGAAGGGTTCTGTGGATAAAAACAAATGAGGAAATGTGCATAAAGCACCCACCCTGCATAGGTCTTTGATGAACGGTAGCCCTTCACGTCAGACACCACCCTTGCAAGAGCAGAATATCCAACCCAGATTGGATCAAGCAAGGAAGAGACAACGCGCGAACTGAAAAGTCTGGCGGCTCACCTGATGGATGCCACCACGACGCAGCTCTCTGTCCCTGGGCTGCCTCACTCTCTTGGAAGGGGTGTCCCCCCGGGTTGCTACTGCTGCTGCTCTAACGCCGGCTCCACAGCTTCCGGTTCCGGGAGGAAGGAGACTTGCTCCTTCCCCAGCAGGCGAACGAGAGTCTCCCGAGCTCTGAGAGGGCGATCCGAGTCACGTGCCCGTCCGTCCCTGACCCAATCACTGCTTGGTTCAGCACCACCTGCCCCACCCTTGGAGCCCATCCTCTCACACCAAGAATGCGTGAAGGGTGAACCGAGCAATAGAACTATGGGATGTAGGCTGAATGGGTGCTGGGCTCCAAAAAAAACGACAAATGCAATCTAGGTATGGCCTTTAAAACCTCGCTGGTCTGGGTGTGAGTGTTGGCTCTGCCGCCTTCCATGTGACGTTATGGAAGTGAGCTACTTACTTCCTCTACGCCTCCGTTAAGGAGCCCAGGTGGCACAACAGTTAAGCACTTTGCTGCCAACCAAAAGGTCCGCAGTTTGAACCCACCAGCTGCTTGCTCCATGGGAGAAAAGACCTAGTGATCTGCTCTCGTGAAGATGACAGCCAAGAAAACCCCGTGGGACAGTTCTATTCTGTCCTACAGGGTTGCTGTGAGTCAGAACGGACGGCAGACAACAGCGCTACATGCCTCAGTTCCTCGTCAGTTAAACAGGGATAATAAAGGCACCACCTTGTAAGCTGCTGTGAGGGCTGAGATAAAGTGTGTAAGGAGCCCAGGGCTTTGGGGTGTTTCAGCAATTCCTGAGTTTGTTACTTCTCCTGCTTTCCTCCCCCTTCACCATTAGCAGCAGCAGCAGCAAACATCACGCACCTAGTGTGTACCGAGACCTGATGGGGCCCAGGAGGCCTGACCTTGGGCCCATCTGCTGTCCTTACGTCCCACCTTCCCTGCCCCTCTAACCTGCACTCCTCACTGTGGTCTGTCCGTCTCTCCAGGTCTCATCGCTTGTCTAGTGAGAAAATGATTCTCAGAATAGTAACTGGACCAGGAAGTCACAAACATAATTTCCAGCCTGGGTCCCACATGGCAACAATGACATGGAGTCAATCAGGGTTTTCAGCCTTTGCGTAGCTCAAAATTCTTACGTTCATAATATTCCCTTTACGTGTCTCCAGACTTTCCCTGACTTTGACATTCCAGACGCAAGGCAAGTGTTGAGGCTGAAACACTCCATGTCAGTCTCCTATCCTGAATCATTTTCAGGGACCATTGACGCACTTTCCCCTTCCACTTCCCCTGCCCATAAGGGCCTCTGCAGGGAGCTCACCTTTAGCCTCCAGCAATGCCTTCTCTATATTGGCCACCAGATGGCAGTATCTCCTCACCAACTACATCCAACCAGCTGTGTTGGTGTGGAACTGAGCCACAGGGCTTTCTAGGGGGTGATTTTTAAGGTAGTCAGGCTTGTCTTCTGAGGGACCTCTGAATAGACCCGAACCTCCAATCTTCTGGTCTGCACTGTAACCGTTTGCACCACCCCTTAAAACAGTAGTTGATTATCCACTAGTCTCAAAATGTTTATCTTGCTCAGAAACAGAAAAACAGTGGTGACACCGGTAAATTAATTTTCAGCAAAACAATGTGAAAAGCTGCTGTCTCGCAGCAACCAGTTCGAGGCAGATGTCACCCAGTGCAGTGCAGCGTGTTTGTTGTGCGAACTTCATCTGGGGTCACTCTGCCCAACAGGGTCTGAGTTCAGCTCTGCTCTGAAGGACAACCTTCAGACAACCTCCTCTTTCCAAACGCATGGTTCTCTCATGTGCTCATGCAAGTTCCAGCCTGACTGGAAGCTTTCGGAACCGAAGAAAATTTGCTAAGTTTATTCAAAGTCTTCATAGAGGAAATAGAACCTCATCAGCCAAGCTTGCCAAACTGGATTATTTGCTAAGATCTGGAGATACCCCTGGGCATGTCCACATGGAAAAACAGCATTTCCTCTGTGATTTTGCAAATGCTCTATTTCAATCTGCCAAAAATAAATCTTCTGTCCCCAAGAGAATACGACTGATAAAATGAGCACACAAGAAAATGCTCACTCCCCCTAATTATCAAAGAAACACAGATTTAAAACAGAATTAGGACAACTTCCAGCTGCTACATTAGCAAATATCTTTAAAAAAATATTTAATAGTTATAAGGGTGTGGTCAAATGATATTTATGAGTTATATTGTACACTGGCACACCATTTCAGAAAATAATGTGGCAATGTGACGGGGAGTCATAAATTTGGTAGTGCTCAGCTGCTCACCAGAAGGTTGGTGGTTCAAACCCACCCAGTGGCTCGGAAGGAGAAAGACGCAGTGATCTGCTTTCACAAAGATTACAGCCTTGGAAACCCTATGGGACAGTTCTACTCTGTTACATGGGGTCTCTATAAGTCGAAAATCAATTTGATGACACCTAACAACAGACTTAAGAAAATATGAAGGACTATGAATGAACTATATGAACAAAGATATGGAATGGTTGAAACAACAGTAGAAGCCAAAGAGCAAGATAATGGAGAATTTGGGCAATGATGTCATAGACCTAGGTTCAAATCTCAGCTTGGCCATTTCCTTGCTGGGTGATCTCCAGCAAACCATGTAACCTTCTAAACCTTAGAGTCCTGAACTATGGAACAGGAAGTATCAGTCATCAAAGTGCCTACTTCATAGGGCTGTTGTGAGCATTGAATGAGATGCACCGTGTGATGAACGTGTACCTGAAAAGATTCTCAGTAAATGGTAGATCCTCTTTTTATTATTATGGTAAAATGCCCATAACATGAAAGTTACCATTTCATCCTTTTGGTCGTTTACAACACAGCGGCACGGAGTACATTCACAGTGTTGTGCAACCACCCCCACGATTTCCAGAACGTTTTGCTCTCCTCATTGAGCAGTTTCTCCCTATCTCCCTTTCCCACAGTCTCTGGCAACCACTGATCTGTTTTCTGTCTCTATAGATTTGCCTTTGTGGGATATTTCATGTAAGTGGAATCATACAAGATTTGTCTTTTTGTGTCTGGCTTATTTCACTAAATAATATTTTCAATGTTCTTTCATGTTGAAGCATGTACTAGAACTTGCTCCCTTTTAATGGCTATTATCCCATTGTATGGATATACCACATTTTGATAGCTATTCTTTTAAAATACAGATGATTGCATATGTACGGCATGAACTACTATGTAGCCATTAACATTTTAATTATGAAGACTGTTGTTGTTGTTGTTATGTGCCATCAAGTCGGACTCGACTCATAGTGACCCCTCCTTGGATTTCCAGGGCAGTATCACTACGGAAGTAGATTGCCCCATCTTCCTTTCGAGGAGATGAAGACTGTAGCATTGTGAAAGAGACCTTATGACAGAATGTTAAGCAAATAAAATCAGCTATGAAATTATGCAATATGGTAGGTAACAAAATAAGCATATAAAACACCTGAAAGAGAACATGTAAACATGGTAGCAGTTGTGTTTTCCAAACTTTCTTCACATATTCAAAAATATGTTTATAGTTTTTAAAGAAAAGCAAACAAAAGACATAACATAATTGGAAAGCAACAATAGTGAAAACAGAGCACTGCAAAGAAGCCTACATTGTTAAATCCAGCTGTGGGGGAACATAAAATCTTATATAATGTCTATACTCCAAGGATCGGAAAGAAGAAAGAATCCCAGTCATGGTAGGAATGACTTGGTGGTTTTCCAGCCTCATGAACAAACCTTTCTACTCTGTTGTTCTGGAAGTTTCCCTGTGAACAGCTTGTGGGTCCATTGATCTTCTTTATTCTCTCCCAACACAGCCACCTTTGGTGCAGGTCTTCTCAAGGAGGCCCAGCTGCCTGTCATCGAGAACAAAGTGTGCAATCGCTACGAGTATCTGAATGGAAGGGTTAAGTCCACCGAGCTCTGTGCCGGGCTCTTGATTGGAGGTGCAGACAGCTGCCAGGTAAGAACAGAGGGAAGAGACCACGAAAGTCTCACGCTGGCCTTTCCTGGCCCCTTAGACCTTTCAGCTCTGAAGTGGCAAGTTCAAGAAAGATCTGTCAACGGAAGGCCACAGTCTAAATGTTGCCCAGAAACCCTGTAGGTACTGCCCCAAATAAGTAGTGACATAATCCAAACTGATCCCTTGGCTCTTGAGTTCCAGACCAAGGGTTGTCATTGCCATCCAGTTGGCTCGTGGTGACCCCAGGGAGAAGCCGATGGAACACCGCCTGGCCCTGTGCCATTTCTACCATAGTTGGTGTGCTCCACCCACTGTTGGAGCCACTGTGAGCACCAAATGCCCTCCAACCCAGGAACTCATCTTCCAGCATGATGGCGACTGATATTCAGTTGTGATCCATGCAGCTTCCATTGGCTAATTTTCAGAAGCAGGCTGCCAGCCCTTTCTTCCCAATCTGTCTTAGTCTGGAAGCTCTGCTGAAACCTGTCCACCATGGGGCACCCTGCTGGTATTTGAAATACCGGTGGCATAGCTTCAGAAACATGCAGTGACCACCGTATGAGCAACGGACAGACGGATGGTGGTCCAGACCAGCAGTAAGGAGGCAGTAGGCTTCTGTCACCACTGTGACCACATGCCCGCTGGAATGTGTCGGTGAATGGGAGCAGAGTGATGATGCTTCCAATAGGGATGGTGGAAGGGGATAAAGACAAGGACCAACTGCAAGTACTTTACAACTTGGGGTGTCCTGCCTAAGGAAACCTGAGAGAGGAAGAGACGTATACCGTATTCACAAGGGATTTTCCCTCCCCCTTTTTTTTTTTCTAAAGATGCTGTGCTAGGTACCAGAGCATAGCAGAGGCTCAGGTCATGTGAATAAGTTCCTTGCTGATTGGAAAGGAACGTTCCAATACTGGGTGTTTGGATACTTGCGTTTGGCTTAATGAGGACAACATCCCATAATAAGATGGTGGCTTAACCCTCACATGATTTTCTCGCTCCCCCTCTGTGCAGGGTGACAGTGGAGGACCTCTCGTTTGCTTTGAGAAGGACAAATACATTTTACAAGGAGTCACTTCCTGGGGTCTTGGCTGTGCACAGCCCAATAAGCCTGGTGTTTATGTCCGTGTTTCAAAGTTTGTTCCCTGGATTGAAGCAGTGATGAGGAGTAATTAACTGGAGGGAAGACAGAATGAGCATCAACGTATCTGGAAAGAGAACATGGTAGGGAATTTAGCATGCTCAGAACTAATCAACAGTAATCAAACTAAGACCCTGTCCTTAGCCACCATTGACTGCTATACCTCAACATGCCTGGATATTACTGTGGATAAATTTTCCTGTCCATGGGCTGCTACAAAGGCCACACAGTTGTGACATCTGTTGAAAATAAACTGTATGTACCTTGACTTGAGTTATTTTTTTCAGATCACCAATACTTTCACATTCTTTATCCTTCCTCTACTGAGGGGTAGCCAATTTTAGAGAGCGTGGCTCAAGCTGTGTCAGTGAGTTGGCTCTTTTGCACAAGGAATGGTTGTGTCAAGGGCTAAGAAGTGTCTACATCAGGGGGAAAAGAGCTGAGAAGTCCTAGCAGGACATTAGTGCAGCAGGGCTTGACACCCAGCTCACATCTTCAGGGCCTTTGTTTCTGGCCCTGAGGCACATGTTTCCAAAGCTGCAACATGTATGCGGAGTCATGACAACACGTTCTATTCTCAGGTCTGAGATCTGTGACTGACGACTTCACTCGACGTCAGCCCCGCCCAGGGGATACTGAGCAGAGGGCTGTGTATCAGGAAGTCTGCTAGGCAGCGGAGGCAACACAAGACCAGGCTGCTAGTCTGAACGTTGTTCTGGGCCATATGGAGTCTAGGAATGACACCAAAGGCCTAACAAGGAACAATGGACAGAAAGCAAAGGTTGACCACTTACTTCTCATTGTGTCCTCATAAAACAGAGGGCGGCATGTGCTGTCCAATGGGAAGAGGGATCTAAAGCAACGCACATCCAAAAAGAAGAGGAAGGATGCCTGTGCGTCTTTCTTGACAGTTTATTTATTTTCATTGCTTCTAGAACCAAAATATCACCTCAAAATACAGTTCAAAGGTGCCAGTAACACAGTAGCAGTCATCTTAAAACAGAGAGAAGTGAAAGGAAGCAAAAATGCACATGTCTATGAATATAGGGTGAAAACAGCATTAAATTCTCAAAGTTTGTGCTTTTTCACTGGAAAATACAACATTCATACTCAATTCTCTGGTGCTCGAAGGATTCAAAAACTTATTCCATAATTTAGACACACACGATACATATTGGCACACGTCCTCCACATAGAAACCTTCTTCTTTGCTGCCAACGTTTCCCTCTGGTGCCTACTTTGCCTGTCTACACAAAACCATTCACTAAAACATCCTGCATAAGATGTGTCCTAGATGTGAGAAAACAACAAATGTCACATCCACAGCAGAATGCTGGGAAAAAGCCACTCGTGTGTTCATATTCCACATTTCAAAAGCCTCAGTAACAAAGAGGAAAGACCACATCCCTTAGGAGCATCTAGACAATCATGTATAAAGTGGCGGCTAATTATCTGAAGCCTGGCTGTCACTGGGTGTTCCTTTAATTAAAATGGCTCCTTCCCAAGACAGGTTACAAGTTCAAAGGCTGAGCGAGAATTGTCTGCATTCTCCTCCTGTCCAGGGGCACCATCAGAGAACAGAATTCACAGATAAGATCAATATCCCTTGGCTGTGAAAATCCTAAGACCAGAGGGTCCTTCACCCATGGGTTTTGTCCAGTACAACACTGAGACGTGGTTCTGTGTGTCTACTCGAAGGGGATCAGAACTGTCCTGACAACTCTTAGGGCCAAAGCCTGATTTTAGGAGGAACAAAGCCCCCTCTCACTGGTTTTCACTGGTGGAACCCTCAGTGCTACTGAGAAGGTAGAAGAAAAGGAAGATGGCCCTGCCAGTGCCACCAGCTCATGGGCACAGGAGAGAAGAGAAAGCAGGGGCTCAGCCCTGTGTGGTCCAAGGATCGCAGATCCTGTCTCTTATCTTAGCAGGGTTCCCACCTCCTCACCCTCTGTGGAATCTTCAGAAGATCCAGTGTAGAGCCTTGGTCCTTGATCTGATCTGATGAACACATGTACATGCACACTTTCCCCAGGCTCTCTGCTTGGACATCCTGCTGTTCCAATGAGCTGGCATGAGAACTGGGTGGGAGGCTTCACTTGTCTCTCCTTAACCCGGAGGGGCAGAGACCACTGTTCCAAACACAAGACCTATGGGCTCAGGAGAAGCCTTGAATCTTACAGACACTCCTAAAGTGGCCACGTAGAAGGTGTTCCCAGGAATTTCAGTAGCATGGTACACTGGAACTCATCCATGATATCAAGATATGCTGGAGCATTTGAATGTCTTGGTGGAGTATTAAGGACACTTGAAACTGCACAGCACTGCAGCTGAGATGGACACTCACATCTCCAAAGTACATCTTTCCAGGGAGCGTCCAACCTAAGAGCTCCTTCCCTCCGTCTTTGGCAGGGGCCTCAAAAGTGAGAACTGGGAACCTGGCTTTTCTTTTTCCTGCCACATTTATAGGAATACGATCTAACAAAACAAAGGAGAAAAGAGAACATCCTTACAAAAGATTGGGCAATGGCCTGGAAGAAAGTTTTCTTTTCATTACTCATTATCAGTGATACTGCCTCGGAAACCCAAGGAGGGGTCGCTATGAGTCAGGGCTGACTCGACGGCACATAACAACAACAACAACAACAACAACAACAACAACAACTCATTATCAGAGTTGGCTTTCATCAAACATTCATGTACAAACCATGTCAACCGCATCCATTACCACTGAGTCGGTCCCAACTCCCAGCAACCCTGTAGGACACAGGAGAACTGCCCACAGGGTTTCCGAGGCTGTAACCTTTACTGAAGCAGGTTGCCTCATCTGTTTCCCATGGAATGGCTGATGGGTTTGAGCGGCTGACTTTTCACTTAGCAGCAGAGCGCTTAGCCACTCAGGCCCTTACCACCAGGGCTCCTCACTCACACAGAGCTCCTCATGAAAACCCAACTCAAGGGCAACAGAAACGGGAGGCGAGAAATATTTAATCATCTCCAAGTTCATTTGGGACCTACTTTCAGACAATAAAGAAAGAAATTTCTGCTGAGTCGCCTCCGACTCATGCTGACTATTTGTGTGTCAGGGTAGAACTGTGCCCCGGCAGGTTTCCAATGTGTGAATTTCTGGAAGGAGATCAGCAGACCTCTAGGTGGATGTGAACACCCAACCTTTTGGTTAGCAGTTGCACGTGTTAACCATTCACACCACCTGTTCGAGGTGCTCGGTAGCATTCCGGCCTTCCAGTTCTTTAGAAATTTCTGCTGTGTAACTCAGGGGTGAGGATGGAGCTGTTGAGTGAAAGGACAAGATAGCAGCAGTGATAGACAAGCTCAGTTCAGTCTTAGAAGAAAAACATCAACAGCTCACAGCCATCTGGGGAGAAGTCTTTTTTTTTTTTTTCCAGAGTAAATAATTATAGAAAGCAGTTAATGTGGTTAATTTATAGAACTGTAAATCACACTTTTACTAGTGTGTTTTTAAGCTAGGGACCAGGCTGTACTACATCACCCTATGTTTGATTATGAAAAATTACAAATGTTGAAAGAATTAGAATTTCTGTCCCTTGAACTTTGTCGGTCTCATTCTCTACGTTTGTACATCAGTTGGACACTCACATTCCTTCACACCACACAGACATCATTCCTGCACACCACGCGGACATCATCCTTCGAGACTTAGCTCTCCCAGGTGCTTAGCTCTAATTTCAACATGACTAGGAGCTCTGGTGGTGTAGCGGGTAAGGCACTGGGTTGCTAAGCAAAATGTCAGCAGTTTGAATCCATCAGCCACTCACTGTGGGAAAGACACGGGGCAGTGGGCTTCCAGTAAAGATTGATAGCCAGCCTGGGAAACACTCTGGGGCGCTTCTCCTCTGTCCTCTAGGGGCGCTGTGAGTCAGAACCACTTGACGGCAATGGGTTTGGTTTTGGTTTTAATACAACTGAATTGGCCAAAGTTCTAGTCTTAAGTGATCTTTCTTCCTCCATTTTTTTCCTGAGGAGTTTGAAAATCTGACCTCTGACTGGTTTAGCGGTTGGGAATGAAAATATATCCCTCCTGATATCAGACAGCAGTAAGTGAAATGGAAACAGAAGGAGGGACTTTGGTCTATTTATAAATATTTCTTACACATATTTTTAAATGGAAAGTTTTACACCTTTAAGGTCTCCCAGGGAGCCCTGCTAACGTAGTGCCTAAGGCACTTGACTGCTAACCAGAAGGCTGGCAGTTCAAACCCACCAGCCACTCCTCGGAAGGAAGGTTAGGCAATCTACGTCCATAGTGATACGCCTCAGAAACCCAAGGAGGGGCTGCTGTGAGTCGTATCTGACTCCACAGCAGTGAGTAGAAGCAGATTGATTTTTATTTTTAGAATTGGTTGTTGAATTTCTTAAAACTACACAAATCATACGACACTATGTGTTCTGATTTTTTTTCAATCTAATAATGCAGAAGTCTGTGGCACATGATAGTGGTGGTCCTCCCTCTCCTGCCTCTCTGCTCAACTCTCTCCCCCCAGTGGGGACACAGGGTTATCTTAGATCTTGTCTTGTGCATTCTCCTATTTGTATTCTCTCTTTTCTTATGAAAAATCCAAAATACAGAGAAAAAGAAAGGGTTATGGAACTTGAATTTTAGCTGAGGTAACTCTTTGTGTTTATATATTTGGTGGGTATTAACCTTCCCAGAACACCATTTAGATATCCCTGTCCAAAAATCAATCCGTCTCTTCTTCCTCTGTCTCCTTCCTCCCTCCCCTCCTTCCTCTTCCCTTCAGTCCACGCAGATCTGGATCCAGATGGATCCGTCTGTCACTGTCCTCTGCCCATCTCTCTTCCCACCTAGCCACAGAGAGCGATTGTTACTGGTCTCTTACTTTGTCAAATAAATAAATAAATACAGTAATGCGTTTTTCATTGACTTTTTACTTTGTATTCAAACTGGAAAACCAGCTCATGTGTTACACTTAGACACTTAGACACACCCCAGTTCTTCTGGTCCCTCTCTAGTAATCCATATTATTGTTTTATTATATATTTATATTATATATTATATTTTGGCCCCTGTCTAGTAATCCACATTGTTAGTATTGTATCCTTTTTTTCAGTCACTTCCTCACTGATGCACATTGACCTTGTTTTCACTTTGACTTATCATCAGTCCATTTCTGGGGGGTCCCTTCTGAGTTGTAATACCCCAGAAATGCTTCCCTCTCCATCACCGTGTTTACAAAATAACACACCTCCTTTTTCATGTGTGTTTTGTTTTCATCTTACATGAACCTTTAATCTACTCTGAGTTTTTGGTTGAGGAGGTGAGTGGCATTTAATCGTTGATCGTCCCCCTATGGGCGCTCCATTTGCCCCACGCCGTCCTCTCCCCAGTGCTTTGTTTGGGGTGTGTTGAATTTTGCACTGTACCTGCCAAGTTTTTCTACGTCGTCCACTGTCTCTGGCAAAGCAATACCCTTGGTTTCAGGCAAAAGCATGACAAGGCCACCACAGAGAGATGCCAGGATACCTGTTGCATAAAGGAAACCGTTATGGCTCAGGACACACAAAGTGGGCTCCTCCCTCCCTCCCTGCTCCCTCTAGATGTGGCTATGCTCGCTAACTTCCATAGTCCCTAACATTGTCCTGCAATCTTCAGCCACGTTGATCAGGGTTCCAGGGTCAGGAAATGAAATATTCTCCTCCTTCCTCAAACCCTGTGGAGTACCACTGCCTCATCCTTTCAGCATTCAGTCAGCAATTCACCTACTGACCGAGTATTTATGGAGGGTAAACACACAAAGGTGACCTCTCCTCCTACTTAGCAGGGAAAATAGAAGCCACCAGAGAGGAACCCCTCCACTTCCTCTTCCCAACACTGTACCCTAACTGCATCCTCACCCTTCCTGTCTTCCTTCTGTTGCACTGAGACCCTTCTCCTGCCTCTGCTCAAGGGCAATCCCTCATCTCTGCTGGTCTTTTCAGGTACCTCACTAAAGGGAAAGGAGCCCTGGTGGTGCAGTGGTAAAGCACTCAGTTGTTAATGGAAAGGTCTGTGGTTCAAACCTACCAGCCACTTCATGGAAGAAACATGAGGCAGTCTGCTTCTGTAAAGATTGACACCCTTGGAAACTGTATGAGTAGTTCTACTCAGTCTATAGGGTCACTGAGTCAGACTTACTTGACAGCAATGTTTTTTTTTCCCCTCACTATGGTGATTAATTCCCTCTTTCAAGCTTCTTCGTCCCAGTGGCATCTCCCCACCAGCATCCAAACAAATCCAACCCTCTCGTCTTTAATAAGCCTTCTATCAACCACACATTATCCTCCGGGTACCGTCTCTCTTCTTCTGTTCTTGGGAGCCAGGCTTCTTGGACCCACCCTCTCCTCTTTTTTCTGCAGCCTCATATCCCATAGGGTGCTGATCAATCGTGCTCTAGAGAACAAAGCCCTGATTTGGGGTGTTCGCTGGTTTCCATGGTGTAAACGACCCCCCATGGACATTTCAAGCTCCTGATATGATGTCACTGAACGATGAGTTGGGAAGTAGTGTTTCCACCATAAACATACAACAGACATAAATAACATCAAAAACACAAATACTAGTAAAATATAGTTCATTAAACAGGAAGTGATGAGTTTTGATACTTATCATCTTTTAATGTATTTTATATGCTTTAATTTTTGATTTGTTGTTGTAAGCTGCTATGGAGTCGGCCTGTGATGCACACACTCCACAGAAAGAAATGCTACCCGGTTCATTCTTGTGATTGGTTACGGATCGTACCACTGTGATCCTAGGCTCCATTGGCTGATCATCCAAAGCAGACTGCCAGGCCTTTCTTCCTAGTCTGTGTTAGTCTGGATTTTTAATAATGGCTGTGTTTAATAACTGGATCATGAAATTCTTAAAAATTTAGTGATTGGCCCTGGCGAGCTGGTAGGAGCCAGCTCCATCACACCACCACAAGCCACACCCCACCTCCACCTGCTCCAATCTGGATTCTGTCCAGATTCCCAGCCACCACCAGATCCAGTGGTGCTATGTTTAGTCCCCACTGGGTTAGGCTCGCACAGCTCTCACCATGCGGGACATGCTTGCCTTCCCTTGGCTGCCATCCCATCCTTCCTGGTCTTCCCCCAACTCCCCTTGCGTTCCTCTCATCCTCACCTTCTTACGTGCTGTACTCTGTCAGTCCTCAGGCGCAGTCCCACGCTGCTTCATTCCGCCCTGTTTCCTCTCTCTGGAGAGATCTCAGCCTCGCTCCAGCTCAGTGGCCATCCATATGTGGTGGCCACCGGCTCTTCATGTCCAGGTCCAACCTTTGCTCTGGGCTCAGTTCCATTCAGCCCACGGGTCCTCCCTATTCGGACTGGGCTTTCTTTCTTTTAATTTTATTGTGATTTGGGTGAAAATGTACAGAGCAAATTCATCTTCCACACAGCAGTTCACATACACTTTGTCTCATGCCATAATCTCCCACAATGCAACAGCTCCTCTCCCATTTCCTCCCTATAGTCACCTCTTCCCTGTGTCCTTCCCTCCCATGCACTCCTGTCCCCTGAGCTGTCTCCCTGTGCATACACTGTTCTTCTATTCTCCCATGATTGATCTCTCCAAGGAGTGTATCTACCTAATGTAAATATTCAGCTCATATGCCTGTCTTTTGTTTGGCTGGAAGCCATAGGAGTGGGTTCAATCCCAGACCTGAAGGAGAGCTAGGGGCCACAGTCTCTAGTCTCAGGAGTTCCATCAGGCTCTGTCAGACCAGCAAACCTGGTCCTTTTTTTCTTTATGATTTTCAGTTTTGGACCACATTGTTCTCCCATTCTATCCAGGATCTCCTATAGAGATTCCCCTCCGAGTGGTTGACAGTGGTAACTGGACACCATCTAGTTCTTCTGGTCTCACAGTCATCTAGGCTGAGGATCACATGGTGCACCAGTCCCTTGGACTAATTGTTTCCATGCATCTTTGGTTTTCTTCATTCTTCTTTGCTCTGGATGAAGAGAGACCCATCGTTGCATCTAGATGGCCACTTGCAAGCTTTTAAGATCCTAGTTGTTACTCGCCAAAGTAGGATGTGGAACGATGTTCTTGTGTAGTATTTTATGCCAATTGAGCTTGATGTCCCCTGTGATGACTTGGGCTTTCTTATGGGCACCTCACACTACACACGGACAAAGAGAATTCCACCATGTTTTCCTGCAGACCTGCTCCTCTGCTGTGGCTAATGTGGTGACTGTGCCATCACCTAGAGTTCTCTCAGCCAGGGGTCTGGCTTCACATGTCACTGCCCCTTTGTCCCTTCTCCAGTCAGTCATCCTATCTCATCAGTTTTATTTCCAGTACTTGAATCTGCCCCCTGCGATCCACTCCCACTGTCGTCACCTCCATAGACTAAGCCATATCCATGACCTCCCACCCGGATTACAGCAACATTCTTCTTTCTCATTTCCAGTACTGTCCCCTCTACCTCATTTGTGTATCTACCGTCACAGTCATATTTCTGAAATACAAACTGACAGTCGCCCCAGCTCAAAGCCCTTCAGGATAAAGAGCAAACCCTCTGCACATCCAACAAGACCCTCTGTGATCTGGCTCCTACTTACCTTCCCAGCTTCATCTATCCCCATGTTCCACCCCCACACTCCACTGGACCCGTTAGTGTCCTGGTTCCTTGAGGGTACATCCTCCCCTTGCTTTAGGCCTTACCGTTACCGGGAGCACTGCCCACACCCCTCACTTGGGTCATTTCTATCTGTCTTCAGATCGCAACTGAGCCATTACTCCCTTTCTCCCTGATTTACCCTCTTCGACTCAACTGAGCTGGGGGTCCCTGTGATGTGCTTTGATAGTGCCCTCTGCTTTCAGTATTTCAGCCTTTATCACCCTCTATTGTCATGGATTTTTTAAAAGTGTGGCTCTCTCCCCAGCTGGACTCTGAGAAGGGAGGGACTGTGCTGGAGCACCAGCACCCAGCTCCCAACACATATCCACACACCAAGCCCAATCTCGAGTGAGCAGGCCAGCAGGTCTCCCAGATCACTCTCCTTGTCAAATGATGGTACGGCGAACACTGAACCTTTACCCCAAAACCAAAAAACCCACTGCCATTGAGTCGATTCTGACTCACATGACCCCCAAAGAGTTTCCAAGGCTGTAAATCTTTATGGAGACTGCCTCATCTTTCTCCTGCAGAGCAACGTGTGGGTTTGAACTGTCAACCTTTTGCTTAGCAGCCCAATGCCTTAACCACAGCACCACCAGACCTCCTTTAATAGGCTTTATTATCAAAAACAATTAAATAATTTGAAACAATTTTTTTTAAATTGAATTCACTGGTGTCAAATGATAAGATGTTGACTTACTGTTCCTAATAGTGTCAAAAAGATTTTTGCATTCATTGCGAAGTATGTCCTCATGGACTCAATATGTTTATTCAAACTTAACTGCTGAGCAACAGATGAAGAATGTTCCCTGCCGGGAGTAGGGAGTGGGTCTGGAGGAAGGCAGAGGCTCCCTGTATCCTTCACTGCTGAGGTGGGGAGAGAGGGTGTAAGATCCAGGCAGAAATGCTGGACTGGCACTTGAGAAGCATTGGATTCAATTACCTTAAAGGTTCTCCCCAAACTATGGTCCTATCCCTCTAAGGAGCTCTGGTAGCATAATGGCTAAGGCACTTGATTGCTAACCAGAAGGCTGGCAGTTCAAACCCACCAGCCACTCCTCGGAAGGAAGATGCCGCAATCTACTTCTGTAGTGATACTGCCTCGGAAACCCAAGGAGGGGTCGCTATGAGTCGGGTCCGACTTGATGGCAAATAACAACAACAATCCCTCTAAGAGTTCCATGAAGATGGGGAGTAGGAAGGAAGGTCTGAACTCGAGACTCTGGTCTTGCTGTAAGTGAGTCTGTGTCCCCAGTTCTTTCAGCAAAAAAGCAAGGTAATAAAGACTATAGATAAATATGGAACATTTGAAAACAGTTTGTTTTCACAATTACTTTTAAATATACTGAAGTTTCAGTGTGGTCCCATGAAAATGATTGGTTCTGTTCCCTGACATTATAAATGATTTTCAATAGAATTTGATTTTGACTCAGCATGGAAACAAAGAAGGCTAAGTTGAACACTGTACATCCCAACCCTTTAATACAGAGCAAACTAGAATCATTTATGTCTTCCAATTGTATTGTGATTATATTGGTGCCTCAAATCTGAAACAGTTGTAATAAAAAGATTATATGGCTGTCATTAATATCAAACCCAATAATCAACGTAGACTTCTACTAATGCAAAGAATATAGAGGAAGGCAGTATGACACACAAAATGAGTTCTTACCAAAGATGATAAGAGGTAGTTCTAGCCAAACGGCTGCGAGTCGAAAGAGCAGAAATGGGGCTATGATCCCCCCCAGATCACACAAACCTGAACACAGTGAAACACCAAAATTTCTGTAAAACAAAAAATATATATTTTTTTTAAATGAAAGAAATTAGATAAATTCCAGAAACTTAAAATGTTGAGACATATAAATAAAATGAAAGGGGAACAATGGCTCCCGTATCTCTAACTTTGAATACTACTGCTCCTCAGGAAGTCAGCACACTTTGGCCATTGTGCCATTCATACCTCATACCAGGTGAGCCCCAGTGAGGACACTGAGGGTGGCTACAGTCTTGGTGGAAAGGCATCTACCATCAGCAGCTCACTACCTTACCTGCTCAGAGATATTGATGTACCACCTTGGTGCCCAGCTTGACAGTATGGTGTGTCCATAGACTAGTTCCCCAGCAAAGGAGGCTGATTTGCATAATCAATGAACACTTTCTTATTCTGTCCCTTCATGCCTCCAGTGCAAGGTGCAGAGTGTTGTCAGAGTGAGGCCATAGCCTTGAACAGGGTAATGCTGGTGAATACAGACCCAACCCCCAACCTACTCAAGTGCACTAACCAACCTATCTGATTCCACGTCTATTGCTTTTCCATGATAACACAGCTGCGTACAAATGAGACATACTGCTGTCACAAAACACAACAGATGGCAATGCAAAGAGCAGCGATCAGTTTGTGTGTGCCTTCCTTACTGGCTTCATCCAGCCCAGGCTAATAGAATGCCAAGCTCTAGTACCTATTCCACCATTTTTAAGTCATCTTAAAACACTTGGCTGCAGAGAGTTACTCATGAAAAACCATGACAATTACCGTAATGTTGTTGGGTACAATTCTGAATTTACCAAATAAACAATTTCAAAGGCCATGGTTATCCCTAGTCGTCCTAGTGTAGCAACTGTGGTCCTCAACCATGGTATCCCTGTAAACACAGAAAGTTTGGAAGGGAAGAGTTAGTGGTCTGCTTTCATTAACATTGATTAAAGCAACATTGATATTTGCTCAGTGTCGCTGTGGCCCAAAGTCTTTGTTAATTTCGAACATAAGTGATGACTCTCTTGCTAATGTTGTAGCTAAATTTCAACAAAAACAACCACAGGAATGACAGCTAGTATTTAAGTGTGCGATACCTTATTTCTATTAGATGACATATTGCACTGGACAAGTCTGCTGCAAAAGACCTCTTTAAAGTGTTAAAGAGCAAAAATGTCACTTTGAAGACTAATGTATGTCTGACCCAAGCCATGGTATTTTCAATCACCTCCTATATGTCTGAAAGCTAGACAATGAATAAGGAAGACCAAAGAAGAATTGATGTATTTGAATTGTGGTGTTGGCAAAGAATATTGAAAATACCATGGACTGCCAGAAGAACAAACAAATCTGTCTTGGAAGAAGTAAAGCCATATCCTTAGAAGTGAGAATGGCCAGACTTTGTCTCTTGCATTTAGGACATGTTGTCAGAAGGGATCAGTCCCTGGAGAAGGAGATCATGCTTGGTAAAGTAGAGGGTCGGTAATAAAGGGGAAGACCCTCAATGAGATGGACTGATGCGGTGGCTGCAGCAATAGGCACCAGGATAGCTGGGGTTGTGAAGATGATGCAGGAGCAGGCAGCATTTTGTCCTGTTGTACATTGGGTCACTATGAGTTGGAATTGACTCAATGGCACCTGACAGCAACAACAACAGATGCCTTACATTATCTTATGGATCTAGTGGAGCTGGTGTCTGATGTTTGTTTTCAGATGAGGAGCTGGGCCTCAGGGAGGTGAGGGGGCCTCAGGGAGGTGAGGTGGTCTCCAGTTTTCAAGGTTGCACAATTAGAGGATAAGTAAATGCTACTCAGAAATGAAAGACTACATGGGTAAGGATTTACTAGTGGAAATGACCCTTCCCTGTTTACTGGGCAGTGCATTAAGTGATGTTAGAATAAATAATATAACAATCCATCCATTAGATAACTGTCTTTTCTTTGCTGAAAGTTTAGAAAGTGGCAAATATGGACCTTGTGTATATACATACAATGGAACCCTGGTGGCACAATGGTTAAGGCCTGGGCTGCTAACTAAAAGGTCAGTGGATCAAACTCATCAGTTGCTCTGTGGGAGAAAGATGAGGCAGTCTGCTTCCATAAAGATTTACGGCTTTGGAAACTCTATGGGGCAGTTCTACTCTTCCCTAAGGGTCACTACGAGTCGGAATTGACTTGATGGCAAAGGGTTTGAATTTTTAAGGTACATGCATACAAAGCAGTATTACTCAGCCATAAACACAACTGAAGTCCTGATACATGCTGCAACATGATGGACCTTGGAAACATTACGCTGAATTAAGTATCTAGGATAGGCCAATGTATAGAGGCGAAGTTGGTCACCAGTGGTGGGTGGGAATCAGTCCTTGGGAGTGAGTCCTATCCCAGGCCCAAAATGTATCCCAGGACCATAGTCTTGGAGGTCCCACCAGACTCCATCCAGCCAATAATTCTGGTCATTATTGTGTTTTTGGATTTTGTTCCACGTTTTTCTTCCCACTCTATCCAGGATCTCCAGTTTTGATCCCTTCCCGAGTGATTGGCATTGGTAGCCGGGCACCATCTAGTTCTTCTGGTCTCAAGGTCTATTATATCCTTGGACTAATTGTTTCTAAATGTCCTTGATTTTCTTCACTCTTCTTCACTTCAGATGAGAGGAGACCATAAGCTTCATCTCACATGGCCTCTTGAAAGCTTTTAAGACCCCAGTCACTACTCTCCAAAGTAGGTTGTAGAACATGCCAGTTGAACTGGTGTTCCCCAGTACCATGATCTTAAATCGGCAGGCCTGGTGGTTATCTCTCCCAAGGTAAATGGCTGTCTCTGAGGGATTATTCCAATTCTGTCTTTTGTTGTTTCTGTAATGATTGTGGTTATTTTGTATTGCTAGTATCTATGCAGAGAGCTCTGGTGGTATAATTCCTAAGGTATTTGACTGCTAACCAGAAGGCTGGCAGTTCAAGCGCACCAGCCACTCCTCAGAAGGAAGATGGGGCAGTCTACTTCCGTAGTGATACTGTCTCAAAAACCCAAGGAGGGGTCGCTATGAGTTGAAATTGACTCGATAGCAGTGAGTTTGTTTTTTTGCTTTTTTTTAGTATCCATGCAAGATTATCTTCAGCTAAATCTATCATTGGTCTAGGGTACATTCCTGTTCACTGAACCCCATCTGATCTTCTCAGTTGTCTGTGCATTTATCTGTAGCCTGGTGTTTGGTGTTAGTGGTAATGCAGTGTTGTGCATATACTGGTATTAGCCTCTGTTGTCTACATCTTATATGCAAGTTTCAGTGTCCTCCCTTCCCCCAATGTTATCATACTGGTCACAGATGCTCTCCATACCGTCCTTCCTCTTACCCAACTCAGTGTGTGGTCCCCAACTGGTCTAGAATTTTCCTTCTCCTTCCCTCCCATCCCTGGAAACCTATAAAAGGAGTTCCTTTCCTTAAGCAAACCTTTCCTTGACTTTTCACAGTAATGGGCTCACACAATATTTGTCCTTCTTCTATTGACTTATTTCACTCAGCATATTATCCTCCAGGTTCATCCACATTGTGAGATGATTCACGTATTCTTTGTTGTTCTTTAATGTTGCATAGTATTCCATTGTGTGAGTGTATCATAGTTTGGTTATCCATTCATCTGTTGATAGGCATTTAAGTTGTTTCCATCTCCTTGCTATAGTGAATTGTGCTGCCATGAACATGGGTATGCATATGTCTGTTCGTGTCCTGTCTCTCACCTTTTTAGGATATATACTTAGTAATGGAATTGCTGGCTCAAATAGTATTTCTATTTTCAGTTTTTTAAGGAAACACCATACCATTTTCCACATTGGTTGTACCATTTTACATTTCCATGATAATGGTGATGGTTGAATAACATGATAAACATAACCAATGTCAGTGAATTGTACACACAAAGTATGTGGAAATAGCCAACAATTTGTTACACATATGTGTAACACATACAAAATTTGGACCTTATAGTATATATTATATATGTTCTCAAAAGAAAAAACAAAAAACCAGCTCAATCCAACAGACCAACCTGAAACAAGGTTGATTTTGGTTTCCAGACAGGCACAAAGCTTGGAGGAATGGGACCTCTGAAAGGGGAACATCTACTGCATGTGCTATAACTAAGGGGTATGAGCAGAAGGAGAACAAATGGGCACCAGGCCACTGTGGCATGAAGCATAGCAGAGACTTCCTTCCCAAGACAGCAGCATACTCAACCTCTCAGCAGAACACGCCTAGAACATTATTCTCAATAATGAACATGGCTACTCAGCAAACGGCTCTTGAATTATGTTCCGACAACCTCACCCTGTTCAGAAGGCAGAGATGGTGTAGAGATGGTAATGGTGTCCTCATGCCCAACACATGGCATCCCAAAGGATGGCACCAGGACCTACATCATTCATTGTCTTCCTCATTCCCAGTCTTGCTCCTCCCCCAAAAAAGTATCTTCTAGAATGCTCCAGAACAATCTAGACTCTTAAATGTAAATTGGATCATGCATTTGAAAATGATCCTTTTGGGTTGCTCTGCTTCAGTGAGGAAATGCTCCTGTCTTCCACAGGAACCTGGGGAAGTGCCAAAGTTCTCTATCTAAATATTTGCCATCTTTTGTGTTTTAAGGGCAGAGGAGTAGTAATCCAGTGCTCTAAATTTCCTAAGAATTATGCAAGTTATGCCTCTTTTCCTAGTGTCTGGGTGTGAGGATGTGGGACTGCACCAACAAACGCATCTGCACTCCCAAGCCAAGCCAAGGAAGCTAGGCATGCATCTTTGAAAATGAAATCTTTACCTTTTATCCCTGTACTCATTAAGGACTAAATGGCCCTCTTGTCTTCTAAGAGAACTATTGTCCCTTCCTGAATATAGGATTTTTAGTGGAAAATCAGGCATGAATGAGGAGGATTCAAGAAGAGACTCAGACTCAGTGGGTTATGCATGTTCTCTTAGAGAGCATTCAACAAATAAGAAGAGCTACTGCTGACTCACTAAGGCGATTGTCTAGAAGGCCAAAACCAAACCAAACCAGTTCCTGTCAAGTTGGTTCCAGCTCATGGCTACCGTATGTGTTACAGAGTAGAACTCCACTCCACAGACTTTTCATGACTGTCACCTTTCAGAAGCAGATCTCCAGGACTTCTTTAGAGGTACCCTTGGTGGGTTCAAGCTGCATCCTTTCTGCCAATAGCTACATGCTTAACACTTTGCACCACCTGGGGACTCCTCTAGAAGGGCATGGAGGGGAGAGCAGGACTCAAGAACTGGGATCACGGCTGGGAGGCCGGAGTTGGCGGCATCGTGATTATAAGTTGACTGAGGACATCCTGATCTTCTTCCCAGATGACAATACCTGCAGCTCTCACATTAAAAGCTTCATCAAAGAGTGAGTGATGTGGGCTGGCGCTGATGCAGCCGGATGGCCATCTGCTCTGGCGGGAACAGTGGTAAACATGTGTTTATTTAGGCTTCACTTTTCCATTCTGGCCTGGGAGTGGGGCTGGGAAATGCTTTCCACCCTCTTCCTTCAACGAGCAGGTGGTTCTCAGTGCCAGGTGCTGGAGAATGGAAAGTGGGGATGCTTCCAAGATCCCCTGGGCCCCGTCCAGATGGTGCACTCCCCCTGCTTGCAGTCTGCAATCAAGAAGGCTGCCTGAGGGCAGTGAGTTTATGTTAATGAGGGAGGAACGACTCAGAAAAGGAGGATGGGAATGGTTGCACAACTTGAGGAATGCAATCAATGCCGCAGAATTGTACATGGAGAAATGGTTGAACTGGTGTGTGTCCTGCTGTGTACATTGTACACAGGAAATGGTTGACCTGGTGTGTGTCCTGCTGCGTACATTGTACGTGGAGAAATGGTTGAACTGGTGTGTGTCCTGCAGTGTACATTCTCCACAGCAACAACAAAACAAATAAAATTTAGAAAAAGAAAGAGAAAAGGAGGCCATTGCTTGCTACATACAAGTAACCTCACACTGAGGTTAGACCCTTAAGTTCAAGTTAGACCCCTAAGTTATAAGTTTCTTGCTACTGAGTCAAGGTTGCTTTATAATTATGGCCCAAGTTCAATGATAATTTAGGTTTACCACTGAGGCTAGGACTGTTTGATAGAAAGAATCTAAACCCAAGAAACCAAATCAAAACACACACCTCTTGAAAAACAGGTTAACCACATGTTAGCTGAGTAAATACGGAGATATAACAAGTCAATTCAGCAAAGCATTCAGAACTCACTGCCAAAATGGACACCCTTGTGGAGACAGGGTCTGTCCTACAGGGTGACCTTATTTTTATTTGAAAGATTTTCAACTCTTTTTCCAAGCGACACTGTGATAGCTGGAGCTGAGTGCCAACTTGTCTGGACCACAATTCTGTGTGGTTTAAGCAATTGTGATGTGGGTTTTTCCAATGATGGGATCAGATGTATATGTTTTGGGCAGCCAATCCATTGAAAGGGAGTTTCCCTAGGGGTATGGCCTGCTTCCAGTATATTTATGGACATCCTGGGAAAAGAGACACTCTTCTGTGGATCAGGATTCTGTTGTGCTGCCTACAACTGTCTGTGAGCAAACAATCCACCATTCAGCCTGGTGATCTTGGATTCGTCACTCATCGGAGTCAACAGCCAGTATACTGCCTGCCAACCTTGAGCTCTTCAGCCCCTGCAGCTGTGTGAGTCAGGTAAAGCCCCCAGCTTGACATTTGATCCAAGAACTTGGGACTTGCCAGCTTCTATAAGTGTGTGAGCCATTTTCCTAAGATAAACTTCTCTTTCTCTCTCTATATATAAGCTTTACTGGCTTTGCTTCTTTAGAGAACCCAGTCTAACACAGACAGAGACCAGTATCTAACTATACTGGGAGAGATTTTGTCAAGGTATATAACAAAATAGAAGTTCAAAGGCATGGGTCATCAAAGAGGGAGGTGAAAATAACGTATTTGGTAGTGTGAACCTAACACTGTCTATGCACACAAAGCTTTTCATCATCTTGGTAACATGCCAGGTTCATCTTGGGGTGGTATCTTTTGGTAGCAATGACAAAGAAAACACCAGAACAATTCAAAATCGTGCACTAAAGCTGAATTCTCTCAGGAGAACACAGAGCAGCTGGATCTCTCTCTGAATGGGGTTTTGGCCAAGCTACTGGAGACCGCTGGGAAGACAGCTCCAAACCAAAAAACCAAACCCTACTGCCATCCAGTCCATTCACAGTGACCCCCATTGGGTTTCTGAGGCATTAAATCTTTATGGAAGTACATTGCCCAGTCTTGCTTCCAGGGAGTAGCTGGTGGGTTTGAACCACCAACCTTCTGGTTAGCATTCAGATGGCTTACTGACAAAAGGAGGCAAGATTCAAAATAAACACAGTTTTGCCTCTTTGTACCATCTGCTTTGAGGTCTGAAATAAAAGATAGTGAACATTTCTCCTAGAGATATCTAAATGAAGACACGTGGACTGACTTTTCTCTTAGAAATAGAAGGCAATTTCCCATCTTAAAAAGAAGATTGTTAGCAACACTGGTAGGTTTGTTGTCATCCTTCATAAGCTCAAATTAAAGATGGCAGACGGGTAGGGATAAAGAAAGCTCTTTGTTTTCTAGACTTTAATTGGAGCTTAAAAATGTGGGCCCAAAGCAGTGAGTCTCAGATGGGAGACAGCCAGAAAAATGGTGTCTTTTTCCAGAATTTTACTCTTCAGATGGTGAAAAGTTGGGCTCAGTGGAGGGGGAGCAGGAGAAACTTTTCTGAGACAATTTTAGAGAGGTTTCCTCTTGCAGCTTCATCAGCATTCCTCCCCAGGCCCCTCCTGCTGCCCATGACATCAAGAATGACCCAGAGAGAAGAGCCTTTCGAATGTTAATTCAACAGCTCCAGGAACCAAGCCCAGAAATGACTTTAGGTGGAGGGTAGGACCATGGGCTCAGAGTGAGGAACCTGTCTTAGAGTTCAGTATTCACATGGAGCAGTAGGTATTTGAAACTTACTTCTGCCAGTCATGAGTGAACCACGTGTGGCTGTAAAAGCAACCAAATCTGTAGAATATAGAAATAAACTGTGCCCAGAATAAGAGCATTAGTGTTCAGTCTGGCTAAGAACAATGCTAAAATTGAAATGTGGAGGGCCACAAAATAAAACTGATTAGACAAAGAAGAAAAGTCTAACCTTTGCTTTAGATTTTCTAAGTGTTCTGAAGATGTTAAATCTCTCCCCCAGAAAACAAACAAACTAGTGGATCCTGACTCATGTCCATCCCTTGCGTCTCCAAGAGGAACTGTGCCCCCAGGACTTTCGATGGCTGCCTTTTGGGAAGCAGATCACCAGCACTTTCTTCTGAGGTGCCTCCACGGATTAGAACTTCTGACCTTTCAGTTAGCAGTGGAGTGCATTAACCTAACCGTTTGTACCACATTGATTGCCAGGCACTAAGCTAAGGGTGGGGATAAACAGGTGAAGAAAACTCAACAGCAAGTGGTTTTAATGACTAGATACTCTATAGACATGCTTGATTGACAAAAGAGTCTCCGCCTCTTAGATGAGGACTTAAGAAAAATGAGATCAATGTAAACAGTCGGCCTCTGCTTATCATCAGACCATTCCAAGATGACAGAGGATGTATTTTTCTCTTGCTGTCCTAAAGGCAGGCATTTCTAAATATACTGATATGGGTCTGTCTGATACTCCGGGGATTCACCACCCTTCACAGAATTAACAAACGCGTCTGTAAAGTCTGACTGTTCTGACTTCCACAAAGTGCAGTCTGCTGACCGGTTTCTTTGCTGATCCTCTGAAGAGCATCAAAAAGACAGGCTGTGCTGTGTGGACACAAAGGCCTCCCAGAGGTCCAGCTCTCCGGGTAATCCTCCACTTCCCACTCCCTGGGACATGGAAACAATTAACTTGCTCTAATTCACATGCTCCCTGTGAGCTGGAAAGGCCTCTTTCCAAGCCCCTGCGGTGCTCCATGGCAGGGAAGAGCTGGTTTTCCGAACAGAGCATTGGTGTCATCGGCAACCTCTGCTCCGCTCTGATCTCCAGCAGCCTGCTGGTCATCAAGTCCTGTAAATTTAACTCCTAAGTACCTCAGCAATCATCCTGTGCCTGCCAGGCCCCCTGCCACATCCTGAAGTCATGCTGTCATCACTCCTCCTGCCTCCTCTCAGTTGTCCAAGGTGCTTTGCTGCCGACGAGGCCACCTTCACCTCCCGAAGCTTGCTGGACAATGCTGGAGCTGTCATTCTGCACACGAGGCTTGACCCCTAGAGCCTGTCCCACTCAAGCCTCCTTGTGGGAACCTTACAGTCTAGCGATGACAGAGGACATCCACCCACACAGGTGCTGCAAACTCTGGGATCTCTCTTCCACTTTGGAACCCACTCCCACCCTTCCCTTTGGATGCTTTTCTTTTCATCCTTCATACATGCTGCCTTAGTTCCTAATGCTGCTGTAACAAAAATGACGAGGTACCTCAGGAGGGTGGCTTTAAAGAACGGAAGTGAATGTCTCACCGCCCAGGAGGCTGGAAGTCAGGGCGTGTCTCTAGGGGGAGGCCCTTGCTTGTCAGTCGTTCCTGGTGTTCCTTGGAGTCTGTCCTCTCCCCATATGTGCCTCTTTTTATAGGATACAAGCTAGAGGTGATCAGGGTTAGGACCCACCTCATTAACCAGCAAAAGAAACCACCTACGTCCAAACAGGTCATATTCACAGGTACAAGGTTAGGGCCTTAACAGGTATCATTGGGGGCAAAACTCACTCCATAATACACGCCTACTCCTCACTCCTGACAAGCGTTCCTGATCTCCTACATTTCTAAATCTCATAAATAATTTGATTATTTCATTTGTCACAGTGAACTGTGACAAGATTGAAGCATGTAGATCACTTAGTAAGGAGCCCTGGTGGTACAGTGCTTAAGCACCCAGCTGCTTCCTAAAAGGTCAATGTTTTGAGCCCACTAGCTGGGCCACAGGAGAAAGAGGTGGCTTCTGCTTCCATAATGATGGCAGCCTTGGTGACCCTGTGGGGCAGCTCTCCTCTGTCCTACAGGATTGCTGTCAGTCAGCACTGACTGGATGGCAGTGGTGTTTTTATATCACTTAGTAGATGTAAATCAGTTGAAGGCAGGAAAGGTGTGAGCTCAGGAAATAGGCTCAACACAGGCAATGGTGTCACAACAGTAAGATTAGATGAAGGTGATCAAAACTGAAAGATATCACCAAGAGCTGGTTTGAGTACAACATCCATTGCACCTGTACATGGACATACAACAAATGGAGGGAACAGACAAATCTACAGGACGAATTGCTTGAACCCAACGTCTTCACACTGATTAAGCAGAACACTGAGGGACAGATGCTACTAACGTGGCCTGATAGCAAGGGTACCTTTCCTAAGGACAAGGGGGCTTCTAGACTTGATTATTTTATCTAAGTTTTTTCCATATTCCTTGGCTGCCAAACAAAAGTTGTTGGGGATGCTTACCTTCTGGTAAGAAAGCAGTGATGAGGCACGCCACTCCTGCCACTATATTGCTTGCTGCAAAGGGGAGGCGGCGTCCAACTCGCTCGATGGTTAGTAAAATCAAGAGGGCCCCAGGCAGCTCCACAACTCCCGAGATAAAAAAGTCGATGTAGAGGTTGCCACCAATAATGCCCAGGCGCATGACCAGTCCTTGATACACCACGGCGCTTGTGAACCTGCAGCAACATTGGGAGACACCAGAGAGGAACATGTGAGAGCTAACGTCTACCTGGCTCAAAGAAAGGGCATAGAGCAAATTTGACACAAGCTTTTAAATCCAACACAAGTCAAACTTACCAAGCAAACATAAGTATAAGTGTGCACTTCCTCATTTGGGGAGTTCTCACCAGATCTAAAAAGGATGGGTTACTAACTTCCTCATCTGTAACAGTGATCTACACAAGAGAAGCACATTTCAGTGGCAGTACACAGCAAGAAACACCTGCATATTACAGATCTGTCAATAACCAGGTTCAAGGGTACCAAATCAAGTGATATGACTGAACCGGCCAGGGTCTTCTCTATTGCATCCTAAAACCTGAGAATGAAACATTCATCATCCAGCCTTTCTGACAGGTCAAATTCACAAAGATGTGGTTGCTGCCCTGAGAATCAGTCCTTGGGGTGATATCCAGACTCTGTGTTCAACTGCTCTGGGAAAACAAGGAAAATGAGGTGTGTTCTGAAGTATACTACATTCAAACATGGATTAAGGTGGGAGGAAATGAGAGGAAAGTTGGCCAGTCCTAGTGGGATCCAAACAAGTGTTTCTTTATGTAGTAACATCCCCAAACCCTGCTTAGAGAAATAGGTTATGGCAATGTTACGTCCACTGATGGCTCACTGACAGCATCCTTGTACTCCACGTGGGACACCTGGGTTGAGTCCTGGCCAAGGCACCTCATATGCAGCCATCACCCATCAGTTAGTGGAGACTTGTGTGTTGCTAGGATGCTGAATAGGTTCCGAAAGAGCTTCAGGCTAAAAGGAAGAAAAGCCTGATGATCTCCTTCTGAAAATCAGGCCGTGAAGAGCCTATAGACCACAGTGGTCCAATCTGAAGTCTACTGAGGATGGCGCAGGACCGGGTGTGTTTCGTGCAGTTGTGCATGGGGTCTCTGTGAGTCTGTGGCCAACTCCACAGCAGCTAAAGACAACCACAACAGCAAGTCCAAGAGCAAGCACCACAGGTCTTATTTTGCTTCAGCCCATTTACTGGAATCTTGCATTTTTTTGATCTAGAAAAAGCCAGCTCATCACCATTTGGCTAGCCAAGAAGTTGTTCTTTGCATCAACTCAATCCAACAAATATTTTTTGTTTGCCTGCTATGTATGAGGTATTACACAGAAAACAAAGACAACCAGCAAACCCTCCAGACCTCCAAGCTTCTTCTAGTCTGGAAGGCAGCAAACACCTGCCCAAAGGAGTCAGTTAGAATTGCCTGAAGCAAACACTGTGTCACATTTCCAAGGCCTTGCTTCCAAGTTACTTCGGCACAGATGGCCCTCTGTCTACGCCAAACGTTTATTAATAATTGCACTGTCCATTAATAGTTAGAACATAGAATGTATGAAGTATGAATCTAGGACAATTGGAAGTTGTCAAAAATGAAATGGAGCATTTGAAGATCAATATCCAAGGCATTAATGAACTGAAATGGACTTGTACTGGTCCCTGTGAATCAGAAGATCATATATGATCTATTCTGCTGGAAATGACAAATTGAAAGAGAATGACATCCCACTCATTGCTTAAAAAGATGATTTCAAGATCGATCCTGAAGTGTAGTGCTGTCAATGAGAGGATAACATCCATACATCTACAAGGAAGACCAGGTAATAATGACTACTATTCAAATTTATCCACCAACTATTAATGCCAAAGATGAAGAAACTGAAGATTTTTCAACTTCTGAAATTGTTTAAACTTGCAATCACGATGCATTGAAATTACTGGTGACTGGGATGTGAGTGTTGGGAACAAAGCAGAAGGATCAGTAGTTGGAGAAAAATGGCCTTGGGGATGGAAATGGCACCAGAGATCAGGACAGAATTTTGCAAGACCAATAACTTTTTCTTTGGAAATGCCATTTCTCACCAACGTAAACAGCAGCTATACATGTGGACTTCACCAGTTGGAATATACAGAAATTAAATTTTCCAAATCTGTGGAAAGAGATGATGGAGAAGCTCAATATCCTCAGTCAGAACAAGGCCAAGGTCAGACCATCAGTTCCTCATGTGCAAGTTCAAGTAGACTGAGCAAATAAACTGAGAAGACAGAATACACAAAGAACATGACATCACTACAGGACCACAGAGTTACACGTGTTGGATTGTGCCAAGTCAATAGAGGTCTTATGGTTGAACCCAGAAGTTGGCAAACTATCTGTCTGGACCAGATAGTAAGTACTTTTGGCTCTGTGGACGGTGTGATCTCTGCAGGTACCGACCTTTGCCACTGTAGTGAAAGCATTGTAGAGAGCAGCCACAGACAATAAGCAAATCAATGAGCATGGCTTTGTTTCAGTAAGAGCTCTGGTGGCTCTGTGGTTAAAGCATTGGGCTGCTAACCAAAAGGTCGGCTGTTTAAACCCACCAGCTGCTCTGTGGGGGAAAGATAAGGCAGTCTGCTTCCATATTTACAGCCTTGGAAACCCTATGGGGCAGTTCTACTGTGTCCTACAGGGTCACTATGAGTTGGAATCAACTTGATGGCAGTGGTTTGGTTGTTTCAATAAAACTTTATTTACAAAAACAAGTAGCAAGCCAGGTTGGCCTACAAGTTGTAGTTTTCTGGTCCCTGAACAAGAAGGTCAGTCTTGGAAGAACTCAGACAGGTACTCCTGTTACTCCCATTACATATAGAAAGCAATTGATGCACAGAAAAACGGGCAAGCTAACTGAAGGAGAACACACAGACAATAGGCGGATCCACCAGGGGGGCAGCACCTAAGTCCGTAGTTCCAACCATTCTGCTATGTTGCTTGTACAGTGTGCGGAGTCTAATATATATTTTATTGTTTAAGACTATTTGTGTCATCTTTTTAACAGTCTCATTAGGTGGGGAGATAGTGGTGGCTTTGTTTTCTTTTTTTTTGGTTATTAATATAGTCCTAAAATTAAAAATTAAACCTGTATTACTTCTGTAACAATAAAAAAATGGCTCCTTTTTCGAAAGCAATGAATTTGAATTAAAAAACCAAAACCAAACCCTCTGCCATTGAGTCGATTCCAACTTATAGCACCTAGAGGACAGAGTAGAACTGCCTTAAAGGGTTTCCAAGGCTGTCAATCTTTACAGAAGCAGACTGCCACATTGTTTTTTCTGTGGAGTGCTAGTGGGTTCCAACTGCCAAGCTGTCAGTTAGGAACTGAGTGCTTTAACTACTGCTTCACCAAGGATTTAATTCAGACACTAATATACCTTTCTAGGAGCTCTGGGTGCAGTGGTTAAGTGCTTGGCTAGTAACCGAAAGCTTGGTAGCTTGACCCCACCAGGCACCCTGTGGAAGGAAGATGTGGCAGTTTGTTTCCATAAAGATTTACAGCCTTGGAAACCCTATGGGGCAGCTCTACTCTGTCCTCTAGGGGGGCTGTGAGTTGGAATTGACTCCATAGCCTTGGAGTTAAACAAACCTTCTGGTTGTTTACTTAGTGTTATTCCCCCTTCCTCTTTCTTAATATAGCCTCAATCAGTCACTCCCACCACAAAGACAACTTAGATTCTAAGGGAAGCTGACTCTGCCTCCAGCCACAGGGGAGGCCTGAGTGTCTAAACACAGCCCTATCCTCTGTGCCAGTGAATGGGCGTATGACTAAAGCTCAGCCAATGAGGAATGGACATGGCATGTGACCCAGTCTGAACCAATGAGGAATGGGCTTCTGGGAACATCTTTCCTTGTTCTAAAGTCAGAGATTCCTGAAGGAATCTTCTCTCTCACTTCAAGGAATTAATATGAAATGGTGGGTTAAAATAGATTTTGGCAGCCATCCTATACCCATGAAGGAATCAGTCTTAAGCAGGAGCTGACCTTGTTAGCAGGGTAGAGGGAAGGAACAAACCATGGCCTTGACAACATTGTGGAGACTGGTTTGGCCAACCTTGAACCCTACTCTCTGTCTAGAATTTCAGACACAAGAGCCAGTAAATGTCTTTTTGTCTACACTGACTTGATTTTCTGTTAAAAAAACCCCCCAAAAACCAAACTCACTACCGTCGAGTAGTATCCAACTCATAGCAACCCCTCCTTGGGTTTCTGAGGCAGTATCTCTATGGAAGTAGATTGCCCAGTCTTCTTTCCAAGAAGTTGCTTGTGGGTTTGAACCGCCAGCCTCCTGGTGAGCCATCAAATGCCTAAGGCTACCAAAATTATCTGGAGGATTCAGTCCAGAACAATTCTTTTGAATTAATTGCTGAATATCTTTGACCAAATAATTTCATACTGAATAGTTAAAATTATTGCTTCCATATCCCAACATGCTCTGTAAAAATACGTGCTATTAGACTTCAGTTCAAACTTTTAAGACTTAGAGGCAAGCAGGACCAGGGTCTCCATTTTTCCAAAGCACAAGTTTAATGTCCAAACTTTAATGCCTAAAACTCAACAAAATGAATCCGAAGTGCTGATAAAAAATGAAAGTAATCCAGACTGTAAAACCAATCCTCCCCATTCAATGGATGGAAGGACTCATAGTTCTTCTAAGCAAGTGAGAGTATTTTGCCTCATTTAAGAATCAATCCAGCTGGTCTTGGGTTTACTAACATGCTTTCCACAGTGACGCAGTCACTCTGAAAGATGACCCACTTTCTGGGTGTCCAAGACCTTGAGAGACTGGGAGCAGCGCCTTGGACGGAATTCACCCAGGCCAGTCTTGGCAGCTCGCGTGTGGTGACTGACTGCCGCAGCAATTCTTCTCTTCTCCTGCGCTAACTTCGAGTCTGTATTTGGAAAACAAGCTGTGCTTCTTTGCTATGGTCAAAAGGCTACCAAATTTTGCCCCATCTGAGTCAGATACCAAGGAACAGGAATGCCATAACTGGTTACGACAGTAACACCTGTGAAAGCTGGAACCTGTGTAAGGCAGAAACCTGTTAGTGGAGGAAAATGCAAGTATCTTCTACTAAAACAAGCTTGAGAAAAGTGCTAAGACCTCTACTTACTTTCCTGTCTGTCAAAGGAAGAAAACTTGCCACCCACGTCCGTAGCCTTCAAGTCAATTCTGACTCACAGCAGCCAACTTTCAAAAAGCGGGAGATGCCTGTACACACACATGTGCACACACACATACACACACGTGCTATTGGTCCTTTGGAGAACCTTGACTGACACAATGGGAAACAAAAACATTTGGTTGTCGGGTCCGACTCGACGGCATGTAACAACAACAACGA